AGAAACAGCTGGTAACTATTTCCATATATAAAGCTCCTAGAAGATTTTAAACACCTGCTTCTTTATGATCAAACAATAAAAAAAAAAACCCAAAAGTTATCCAATTAAAGGTTACATGTTATTCTGCAAAACCAACCATAACTATCCTCCTTCTAGGAAACATACCACTGTCTAAATGCATTTAATATTCATATTAGTTTAATAGATTCAAAATTATGAAAAGAACCACTTTCAAAGCAGCAAAAAATGTGCAAATTTAGATCCAGATTCTGATATTCTTGGCCATGTACTGCTGGACATAAGAAAAATGCCTGTATACAGCACTTGACCATAATGACATGACTTTTTTTTATTTGTTTTTTTTTTTTTTGTTTTTGTTTTTTTTTACAAAAGTCCGTTTCTTCACTGAATGACTGTATGATAAAATAATCAAGCATTTATCTCACACTGCACATATGAAGGCTATTAGGATTTATAAAAATGTATATGTATGCACATATACTTACACCAACCCATTCAGCAAACAAGTTGTGTATAAGTTACCAGTTCCATCTCTACCGCATCAAAAGGGGTCAACCGCAATTTTTACACCCATCTTTACCACCCCCCTATCAGGCAGCATCCACCTCAGCAATTATTTCTGGTTATGTTGGGAATAATTTAACCTGTGAATATCTTCATTTATCCAACAGTTACGTGAATTCATTGACAACAGTTACCAACTATGCAATGTGGGTGAATTTCCTCATTCTCTTTACCTTTATTGGAGAAAAATATTTGATAGTCATTCTCCATTCCTAATAATATACATTGCCATTTGTCATGCTTAGTTTTACAATCCCTTTGGAAATTTATTGACCCATCAGCTGTTTTCACGCACCAGTGACCTCTCAGAGCTGTGCAAGTACATTTTTGTTGTAATTACACAGCAAGGCCTCATGTCTCTATAATTCTTCAAAAGGTTGAAATCTCCATCTCACTGAAGTCAAGGGAGTTTTGTCATTGGCTTTGATACTACCATTGTTTCACTCATATTGCCTCATACAGTTTACTTGCAACAGATCAGATTATTCAGTCAATTTATATTTCCTACCTTCAGTTCACAGTCTTCATTTACTGCCAGGTTTCCAGGCTTCAGATCCTATTAATATAATCAGGCTTTAGATAGATTTTTGCAAAAAATGGAAAAAAAACATCACAAGAGTAAAAACACTTGCCTTAAGGAAAGGAAATGTACATAAGAAGTGCTATACAGGGTCAGACAAATGGTCCATCTATCCCAGTATTCTGTCTCCAGCAGTGGCAGAGGTGGATGCTAATGAGGGACAGCATTGAACCAGATATCTCTAGGGTGACCTATCCCCTCTACTGAATATCCTCCTGGTATACCCCATGTGGTGAAGCACCAGCACGGTGCTTGCCACTTAAGGGCTGTTGCAGGCTTCAAGTGAGCCTGCTTTGCAAGCAGCAGGGAAAAGCCTCCCCCCCAGGAACCCACCTTTAAGGGGGAAGGTGGGTGGTAGAGCATCTTAGGTGTCCACCACTTTAAGGTAGAAAGCAGGCAGGTGCAGGTCTGCCCTGATAAGGTGGTCATTTTAAGATCCTGGCTCTCAGGACTGGGGCAGCAGTTTGCTGCCAGCAGCTGAGGGAGCAACACGACTCAGCTACTCATCTTGGAGGTAAGGGCAGGAGCTACTGGGGATGGCAGGAGGCTCCTGGTCCTGGGCATGATCTGAAACTGCACCCTGATGGGGAAGGGTAGCCTGATGGGACTGTTTGTGGTGGAGCAGCCCCCAAGAAATGCCAGGCCAGTTACCTCCTTGGTGAAAGGCAGGTAGGGGCACCTTAACCCCAGCCCACACCAACCAGTGGGCTTATAAGCCTGGAGAGGAGTGGGGCCAGGTATGCCCATGTGAGGCACCTGAATCCATAGGGGTGTGAGACCCCAGAGAGTGTAGTGGGGCCAAGCATACCCATGAGTGGCACCTGAGCCCGCAGGGCAGCAAGACACTGGAGAAGAGTAGTGGGGCCAGGCATGCCCATGCAAGGGACACCTGAGCCTGTTGGGGTGAAAGGCCCTGGAGCCCCAGGAAGGAGTGAGAGTTCAGTTGAGGCCCTGGCCAAGTAGTGAGTAGTGTGTTGAGGCCCTGGAAGAAAAGGGCAGAGGTCCAGGTAAGCTTTCAGGCGCCTGAGGCCGCAAGTGGGCCTGAGGCCATGAGAGGTGGCATAGAGAGAGCCGTGAGTGAAAGGGGTGAGTCATCAGGCCCAAAATTGTGAACTAGTGGGTGGTGTTACTCAGCGAGGGGTCATGGGAGGAGTCAGAACAGGAGTGTTCTGTTAATTGCCCAGCCACCATTCAGATGAGGGTCGCTGGGGAGGCCCAAAAGGCTGTGCCAGGGCTGGCTGAGGGGTGCAGAGTCAAGCCTGATGGTCCTCTGGGGTCACTCAAGGGAGCAGAGCAGGGTGAATGTGGCCCAGTAAGGTGGCATGAGTGGAAGAGGCCTGGTGAGAGCAGGCAGAGTGCTAGATGCCCCAGTGAGAGGGGGGTGGTATGTGTGAGACCCTGTATAGGACAGTATGAGAGAGGCCTAACACTGAGTTGGGCCCAGCCTCAAGCCAGAGCATAGCACAACTCACAAGAACATCTGCAAGACACGGGACACTAAAGGGGCAAGTAGGATGTGTGTGTTTACTGCCTTTACACATCAGGGTGCTCAAAGGGCAGCCTCCCACCTAATTAACATCTTCAATTTACAACAAGGTGTGGCAGACAAGTAAGGCGGGCAGCTTGCCCAAAGACAGATAGGCGGGCCAGTACTACGACTGGGCCTGGCAGTTTGTCTCTCTCACACCCCATTATAGGATTACAGGTGCCAGAGGAAACATCTCTAATCATCCTGCTCAACAGCCATTAATAGATTTATCATCCATGAATTTATCTAGTCTCTTTTTCAACCTGGCTATGTTATGTTCTTATGTAAGACAGCCTTGAACAAAAGTTCCATTCAAGTCATAATAAAGACAACTAGCCTAATCTAATTAAGAAAGCTAGTTTGGATATAAATTTAGATTATTTACACACACAAGGGGAAATCAGATAAGGAAAATTATTTGACTCTGAATTTAACTGCTATTAGGCCATACATATATTCCTAACTAATCTTTAATTAAAAATGTCCATTGACATGTATCAAGATATGCTTAGAGATTATTTGTCCACACATGCCTGGAGTGCTTTTGAGTGTTAAAAAGGGTTAGACTTTATGATCAGACCTACTTCACCTGAAACATACCTTACCTAAAACTTCTGTTCTCAAAAAAATTGTGGAAAAAGGGGAATTTTCATGTCAAGACTAATTTATTTGAATAGAACCTATTAAATAAAAAGGCCAACAATAAAACAGGGTGGGTCTTGATATCCATCAGTATTGCCCTCTACTGATTCATTGAGATCATAGAGTTTGAGACTATTTTTAAGTAAGGGTAGATGGCAAATGGCTATGAAAAGTTAAGATTCTTAAATTTTATTACACAAAGTTAATGATCTTAGACTAGGAAGAAAAAACTCATTTTTTCTAAATCTTTGTATATTTAAGTGAGTCACACTGGAGAACTATTCCCACCCCCAAAGTTTTCAATGTTCATTCAGTTACATCACAGAAATGGATGACAAAGAAATGGGGAGTGTGGGTGTGGCAGGAAAGCAGGGGGCACCCCTGCATTGAGCCACCTGCCTTACTGTGCCCAACCAAAAACCATGATTCAGGTGTCTCCCCTGGGGTGCCTACATCTGGCCAACCCCCTTCCTGAAGCACACCTCCAAGCCTGGGTTAACCACTGTCACCACCCAGGGGCTGGTCTTTGTTAGGGCTCTGTGACGCAAGGGTACGCAGACCCTGTAGTCTTTGCCCATAGCAGGATATATCTGCGTGCTTCTTATAGCCTGAAGCTTTAACAGTAGCCTCCCTTAGTCAGCTGAACAAGGGAGCTAAAAGGCTTATCTAATCCCTCTCAAGCAGGTACAGCATGGCTTGGTATAACGGATAGCTTTACTGATTGGAGAGGGTAGGCATGGGGAGGAGTACAGGTCAGAGAAGTACCAAAAGAAAAACCCTGAGCAAACAGAAGCTGATTGGTAGCCTTTTGCTATGCTTCTAGATCAATTCATCCCAAGTTACTAGCTAAAATTCAGATTTGCATCCAGAGTCTGACCAAGCTCTTTCTCTGGAGACTGTATGGCTTGTTTGCCATGTTCCAAAACATGTCTCCCCTCTTTAAGCTACAGGGACCCTTATAAATAACCTTTCTGGTCTCATCACCTGGACCCAACTAGGATCAGGTATTTTCTGAGAACCACTGATGCTGACCAGTCAGTTTTAAATACGTCAGCCCCCACCTTGATGAGTGATGACTACCCTAGGACTGCAACTCCAGGTAAATGGTGGGAAAGGTCACACAAAGGAAAGGTGAGCTCCCCCCTCCCTATGGAGTTTACAAACCCATCACCTAGGAGGCCAGGTGAACTGACCAGGCAGAGTGAGAATCTCAGGGCCCTGGGCTGTCTCCGAGCAGAGGTGGGTCAGCCAAAAAGGGGGTTTCTTCACAGTAGGCTATTAAGAATCAAAGGCTGCTTACAGACATGGAAAAAAACCAACTAATGGCACTTTAAATACTGAGTGGTCCCACACTGAGCCCAGACCATGCCCAGAAGAGGCATTGCATTGGCTGGACCTGGCTCACCCCAACATCTGTATAGATCAGGTGTTTCAGTGGGGCTTTTTGGCGCTTCTATGTAATAGCTGATTCAATTTGGATAAAAGTGCCAAAAAGCCCCGCTGAAGTGCCCAATCTATACAGACACTGCAGAGATAGGTGGAACTAACTCTCTGCTGCTTCCAGTAAAGTGCAGTTTTCTTTTCCTCCCCTCATGTCTGTTTGCAGCCAAATGGTCTTTGGAGAGAGAGATGAAAAATCTCTGAAACAGAGCTGAAAACATCTCTCTCTAAGCTCCATCTTGCTGACTCTGATCCTGAGTGACTGTAAAGTTTAGACCATGACCACAGCAGCTGTGGAGGCAAAAATACAGTTACTGAAGTGTTGTATTATATTGGGTTTCTGTTGAATAGCTATTTCCATTGGCCAAATTAAAACAACTGGAACGAAGAATACTTTGCGATGTTTTTGGCATTATGTTGGAACCCACACCCCCCAAAGGAGTATCCTCCTTTTATGCTACTTAAGCCAGCCTCTGTCATGAAATAAAGACAAGTGTAGGTAATCAAAAATATTTTTAGGACTCCCACATTGATTCAGATGAGCTTTTGAGTGGGAACTGTGAGAGCACAAAAGAAATCAAAATGACCAATTTTATTTTCCCCATAAAAACTGACAGTGGGGAAAAAATATAAAACAATTTCCAAATGGAAAATATTGACTTGAAAGTCTGAAACTTAGTATTTTTGCTTATTTGCTAAGCTTTCTGGTGGAAAAAAACATCATTATATTTTTGTTAAGGATATGGGAGACTTAATATGACTTTTTGTTTACTCTAAATCACAATATTTTCCTTTAAAAAGATTTTAGTTGAATAGTTTCAAACATCTCTACTCACTAGCTGTTTTAAAATGTTTGCTGAGGAAACCATATACATTATAAACACTGAAGCAAAATTAAACAACTTGGAAATGGTCACACATGCACACGAACAGCAGTTATGGCATACAAATTAAAGTAACCATTTTAATAGGTTTTGCTTACCCTGTGAATTATGCCTGATGAATGGATGTACTGTGGAAAAAAAAAAAAAAGACTGTTAACTGACATGTATTGGCTCTTCAGTAAATTGCTACTTAATTTACACTAACAAAGTAACCTTGTGGGCTGCTAAAATAACTTGAAACTAATACAGGTTCCTTGACTGTGAAGATGATTTCCCTAGTTAGAGTTTATGCCTTTTAGATATAGTCTATAAACCTGTATTGCTGTGTTAAAAAATATAAGCAAAAATTACTAGCTACTAAGTAGAAAGGTGAAGAGAGACCAATCAGAACGTTAGGAGCAGCATGATAATATTATTTATGCAAGTTTATTTTGAATTAAAAAACAGTAATCCTTTTATGAAACACTTCTAACTTATTCACCCAAGGACTTCACAAAATATTATTATGGGAAGGTTGTCCTGGACTCCTGAAATTACACATTGGGTCATAAGGTTTTTCTTGCTTTCTAAAGAAAAGAAATACCTAACTGGACAATCATAGCTTAGATTTGGATACCTAAACAAGTGCTCTCCACCCTCTAGAAGAGTGGTTTTCAAACTTTTTAAATCTGCAGACTCCTTTGGAAATGTTGAATGGAGGTGCAGACCCTTCTGAACTGTAAGTGTGGGTATTCACATACTTTTGTTTGATCATAGTCCTCTTTCATGGGCACCTTAGATATAGTCTGCAGAGCCTGTGGGGGCAAGGAAACCACTGCTCTAGAAGACCCCATTTTAGGAAAGCACATAGAACATGTTGACATTTATCCTAGGATTTAAATGAGACTTAAGCACTGGGGACCCAACTTCATGGGCCAAGAGGTTCTTTCTAGTCTCACGTTCCTATATGTTCAGGTAACCTTCTTGAATTGGTATCCCTGCCTGAAAATAATGTTAAAATACATTCTCTCCTATTGGAATATTCATTATCTTTTCAGCAATCTACCCATGTTTGAGTCTTTCAAAACATAACTCAACAAAATGGATACACAAGGACTAGATGGTTTTAGGATAGTGATGTATATTCTGTATTGAGCAGCATTCCCGTGCTCACAGGGTCATAATAATCTTATATATTCCAGGCATTGGGAATTTCTGCATAGTTCTATAGGCAGTTGTACAAAAAGAGATTGGTATTGGTAAGCTAATGTTATGGTAAACAAACCTGGGCGGTGAAGGAATAAAATCAGAAAACTATATGAACCAACTGAGATGTCTGTAATGCTTGAATTTTTGGGGGAGTATTAATTATTGCCATTAGCATCTGAATTTTATGAACTTTTGAAAGTCCACTTGGAAGCCTGCTGTATTCTAGAACATGGAACATATCTGAAATACTTCATAGCACACTGGCAAGAGCGGAGTTAAATGTAAAATTCCCTTTTCCATGTAGCTTGTAATCTCAGTTGAAATATTCAGGAATTTAGCAATTTCAAGTTAGATTTTTCTTAACATATAACCCCCTTTAACTTGCAAACAATCAACAAGGAGTTAAATTACCGTCCTCAGCGTCATAGGAGAATTACCTGTCCAGGTTCATCTCTGACCTTCCAAATTAGATTAAAAGGTTTGAGCAGTTCACAAGATCTGCATACAGAGGAGAGCAAATACTAATGACAATTCAAAAGGTATTGGTGGTGAACAGGAGACAGGGAAATGCTATTCAGTTTTGTCCAGGGATTCTCCAAGTCTTATTTCATTGAAGAAAAATGAGATGGGTATAACAGCAGTTTGGCACATAGGCAAATAAGTTTGCAAATAGAAGCTGGTCAGTTATTTCCAATCCCAATTCATCCTGCCAGCTCTAGACAAACCAGACACAGTGCTGCTGTGTGCAGATACCACAAACCCCTAAATTGGGATAACTTTTTTTTTAACCTAGTGGAGAATTAATACAGAATGAGCTAGAGTAACCACCAATGTGATTAACATCAGCTAACTTTATCTGCCCAAGTCTATCCTGGGGTAGCCACTTATTAAAGGCAAAGAGGCTATTGCTTGCTGCTCTGCCACATATCAGTGAAGTCTACTGTGCAAATTACTCTGGGATGGCTGCATGTCTATCCTAGCAATAGTTGATCAAGGTGTAAATTACCTTATTATACAAACTGATGTACATGATACCAAACTACATTTTAATCCCTTCAAGGCCTCTGTGGGGCAGTAAGACCAACTAGTCCCTTGGGGCACCTATACACCTGCATCAAGGCTGCTTTGATGCACTGTAATTACAGCACATCAGAACAGACTCAGCTGAGTCTGCTGGACTGTGGTAACTACCATGTTCCAGCAGATTCCAGTATTATGTATATTAGCATCCCTGTGCTGAAAAATGGTGGCAGGACCACTTTAACTGAAGCTCGTTGAACAAGATTTAGTTAAAATGCCCTTGCTGCCATTTTTCAGGGTGGGAATGCTGATACATGAGACACTCTTGGAGTTTTACTTGGAATGGCTTTTGAAACCACTCTAATTAAAACGCCCCTGACTCCTGGAGCCTATGTATAAATGTCCTTAGTTGTGAGGTGTGAAAAAGCATGCTGATCCTTAACACAAAGCTCAAACAACTGAGCTATTTGTCTGAGTAGCTGTTCAATCCCGGAGCAAAACTTGCCCTTTTTGAAAAAAATTGTTTTGATATTGAAAGATTAAATCTACTGCTGCGATAAGCCACATGGCAAATGATCCACATCTTGAGAAGCACAGTGGAAGAGAAAGGAGGGTCACAGATGGGCGTGTTATTCAACTTCTCAGAACAGACCTAGCATGCATTTTAGACTTGTCTCTACAAGTTAGAGCAGCCCAAGATCTAATATTCCAAGGTTCCCAGCAACATCCTGATTTAACAATAATAAAATGTCTCACTCATTTATTGATGCTGCATTTTTATTTTCATTTATTTTACTTAAATGGATACCTCCACCACATAAAACTTACCAAATGCTCAGAGACTGTTTTAGTCCCATCTGTTAAATATACACACTCCCAGAATATACAAAGGGTCACTCTCCTACCCAATACCCTTGCTTTTGGAAGCAGTGTACTCAAATTGCTTATAATAAAGTTTATGAGCTTCTTAACTGTTTCTTCTGCTGTCTCCACTGTTTCTAGTGCTGGTTTTACAAGGAGACATGCCCATCTGCCTTGGGCTTATATTCTTCTAGACCACCACTGGCTGATGATTATGTAAGTTTCTTGGGAACCATCGCAGAGCCCATGGCAAAACTGTTCCAAAACTTGTGGCAATCTGGAGAGGTCTCTGAGGACTGGAAGAGGGCCAATGTTGTGCCCATCTTCAAGAAGAGGAGGAGGGAGGACCCAGGTAACTATAGGCTAATTAGCCTAACTTCTATTCCAGGGAAAACCCTGGAAAAATTCATTAAGGAGTCTACGTGAGATAGGCTTGCACAAGGTAGGATTCTGAATGACAACCAGCATGGCTTCGTCGTGAGCAGGTCTTGTCTTACCAACCTCATCTCCTTTTACGATCAGGTAACTCGCCACCTGGATAAGAGAGAGGAGGTTGACATTGTATACCTTAACTTCCAAAAAGCCGCTGATCTAGTATCCCATGATATTCTCGTGAGCAAATTGGAGGATTGTGGGCTTAACTGCAAGACAGTTAGGTGGGTACAAAGCTGGCTGCAAGGTAGGACCTAGAGAGTCCCAACGAATGGATCTGTGTCGTCCTGGTGAGAAGTGCCCAGTGGTGTCCCACAGGGGTCGGTGCTTGGAGTACTTTCCAACATCTTTATCAATGATTTGGATGTGGGGTGAAGAGATCACTGGGCAAGTTCACAGACAACAAGTTATGGGGCGCGTGGTCATGCTTGAAAACAGGCTACAGATACAGGTGGATCTAGACTGGCTAGCAAGTTGGGCAAGTCAGAACCAGATGAAGTTCAACACTGAGAAATGTAAAATGCTCCATCTGGAGACTAACAACCCCCTACACACCTACAGGCTTGGTGGTGCCAAACTGACCAGCACTACAAACAAAAGGGACCTGGGGGTTATAATAGTATGAATATGAACTGGCAATACAATGCTGTTGCCAGCAGGGCAAATAATATTCTGGCATGCATCAATCAATGCATCTCCAGCAAAACCAAGAAAGTTACTCTTCTGCTCTACTTGGCACTGGTGAGACTCCAACTGGAGTACTGCATCCAGTTCTGGGTGCCACACTTTAACAAGGATGTGGTAAAACTTGAGAGAGTTCAGAAAAGGGCCACACATATGATTAGAGACTTGCATGGCAAGCCATATGAGGAAAGGCTGAGGGACCTGGGACTCTTCAGCCTGAAAAAGAGAAGGCTGAGAAGGGACTTGGCAGCAGCTTACCATTACATCAGGGGAGTACATCAAGGGTTGGTGAACAACTGTTCACCAGGGCACCCGTGGGAAAAACCAGTAATGGCAACAAACTCCTGAAAGACCGTTTCAGGCTCAATATTAGGAAAAACTTCTTCACATTTACGGTTTCCAGACTGTGGAATAAACTCCCTCCAGAGGTGGTGCAGCCACCTACCCTGGAAATCTTCAAGAGGAGACTGGACAGTCACCTTCCTGGGGCTGCCTTACCCCAGCTGTCTTTCCTGCCTAGTGCAGGGGGCTGGACCTGATGATCTTCTGAGGTCCCTTACAGTCTATGAGGCAGAAAGTATAAGAAAGCTCAAGTCACGAATAACACCAAGCGTCATAACTAAAGGGTCACATTCAATGAAAATACTCAGATGGTGAATCAGATGCGAGTTACATTATGGTGGTGACAATTCTGGCATCATCCATAGGGAATTGAACACTAAACTACCTCTCAAACATGAAATTACTGTTGTAGGGAAATAGAGCAGGAGAGTGATAGGTGTCATGGAATAGGATTCATAACATGAATCTTGCCATTGTCTCAAGCATACAGGCAACCAGTTAATGTCATGCATGGGTGTGAGACATCAGGATGGGAGGAAACTCCTTGATAATGAGGAAGTCCTGTGCTTGTGTACAGAGTCCTGAGAGTATTCTTCTGGAAGTCTATAAGAAGTCACGCTTCCAACAAAACTCTGTAACAAAGAAACCAGCTATCTCTTGCCAACAGCCTGCTTTATATTTGAACAAGCAAATGTTTTCTCATTGAAGCTCTCATATTTCAAGAATACAGCTGCTTAAAGAATTTCCAGACTTTATTTGCTGGCAAAATTACACACAGAGAAATATGCCATAGAGCCAGTGATTTCTGCACACAATAATATGGCAGGAATTAAAAGAATTTAGTCTCAGGGTCTTGTTAAAAGTGCACCCTCCACCACTTTAAGGAAGAATGGTTGTCCTTAAATATCGTAGTATTAAGTAATCTCTTCCCATGCTGAACTACTGCCTTATTGTTGCCTGTTTGCTCCAGTCAGTAGCATGACTAAATATATGGGTGATATTCCATGGTACAATCTTTTCCCTACTACAGTAACCTTTATGAAAGGTAGTTTTATTAAAGGTCTCTCCCCCTCCACAACCAACAATGCAGGTTAGAAACGCACATGAAAAAAGAATAAACTTTATTTGAAATCTCTTCATATAATTCATATATTTATTAAACACTCTTAATAGAATATGCTGAGACCAAATTACTTAGCACTGCATTTCTGGTGCCAGATTTTCTACTTGGCAAAAATGCTTGAATTTTTGTAAAGGCCTTATCACACATTCACTTGCAACTATTGCAAATCATTGGTACGTAGTGACCTATTAAAGTTAGTACATATTAGGAGATATATACAGAGAAAGAGAACACCTATGCAACACCATGAAGGCACCTAACACATACTAAACAGCTTGAATGTGTGCCTGCTTGCATTTTAACTACACTTAGTAACAGCTGAATGTGTGACACCCACCCCTAGGTGAAAAGTGGTGCACTGTGCTTTTACTAAATGACAGATCCTGCACATACATCTGCTGTTTATATAGAGTCCTCAACTATTTACTGCAGCCAAAACTAGTTACACTGTGGTAAGTTACAAGCTTCAGCAGAACACAGGAAGTGACCAGACTATTTTGTCTCACAGGGAAGGGAGGAACTGAAGGGGAAGGGACAGAACTGATTAGCAAGGTCTGTAAGCATTTTCTTTGGATGGACCAGTTCCAAAGCTCCAACACAAATTGTGCAGTCGACACAATTTCCCCCACTAACTTCTGGATTAAGCCTGCCGAACATTTCAGAGTATAATCTATACAGGATGATGTGACAAGGGAGTGTGCAAAGGTGAACCCCATTACAAGGAACATTTTCAAAAGGAGATGGGGCTGGAGGAAAGAAAAGTGAATTCCGTTCTCTCAAAAACAAGAACCCAGAAGCACTAAGCTGAGCCTACCATAATACTGGTTTAGTGCTGTCACAGAAATCCTCAAGCAAACAACCATGAAGTATCTCTCCTGCTGGAAATTTCTATATGGAAATTATCTAATGGTGCTTCCTTAGAATGAATTAGTCTGAAGATAGAAATAAAAAGTGTAATGATTCAGTGAAGTCGACAGATTGTTTGTTAGGGAATATTTGGCACACAGTATGGAAGGTTCTGATATTCTTGTCCTAATGGATGAATACACTCATAGGTTTCTGCTTATATGGTTGACATGGTTAGATTTATATTTCTGAAAGCATGGGGATGGAAGACAAATAGCAAACATAGAAATCATTTCCAATGAAAGATGCAACAAGATTAGACTGATCATATGTACCTGTTTACACGGAATATTTAAGTAACCCTGCAAGGTTTCACTAGTAGTGCAGTGAAATGTCCTAGTTTCTGTAAAATTCTGAGATGCCAGATCACGTGAGGAGCTTTCAGCTCATTTTCTCTTTACTCAACGTCCTGCTCCCTGCAATTCAAGTATGCATCAACTGTTTTGACCTCTTTCCCCAAGGAGGGGCAAATAAACAACAGGACAAGGTAATATGGTTTTGGTGATTAAGGTCAAGATCAAGGGGCTCCAAGTTCTTATCCTAGAAATGGGGGTGACTTTTTTGTGGTTTCAAATTGAGTCTCTGATTTTCTCTGCTTTATTCTCTCCATGTGAACTACAGAATTTACATACCAGGCATGTGAGCAGGAGGGTGGAAATATGATAGTGTGTGTGTGAAAGGATGTAATGAACTTCAGTTCTTACAGTCAGCACCGAATTTTCCAATGTGAGCCATAGAGGATGAATAAGTAAGGAACAGGATTCACTTAAAGACAAAATAAAGCTATACAAACTAAGTCTGGCCATAGGAGTAAAACAACAGGTACAAAGGAAGTAGCTATGTGAAGCAGCAGGGTGCAGAGTAAAACAGCAGACACACACACATCATCACAGCATATTAAGCATACCTTGGATTTTTTCCCTTTTTTTGTTTCAAATGTTTGCCAGTATAGTATAGATGTGAAAGAAAAGCTGGTTAGAAGCCAGACTGTATGCAAGGCTTAAAATGAGAAAAATGTATCATGGGTCTCTGTTCAAATTCCCACCAATGGCCTGTATGATATAAACTGCAAAATCAGGACCATAAAAACCAAAAACATTTACAGTGTAAAGAATACATGAAAATCTAAACCTTGCTCTTTCACAGCCATGTTGGAGTGTACACCTTTAGATTAACAGAATTGAATTCTACAGAAATAGCTCCCACTGTGGGAAAACCAGGTTTCAGCCTGCAAATCTAGGTCAAGGCACTTCCAACAATCACATTTCATCTGAAAGCTGAACTAGTTGAATGACAGTGTTAAAGGCAGAACAGAATACCTTTCAGAGTAACCTCTTTTCCTTTTGGAGACAGTTTCAACAGAAGGAAAGAACAATATCAAAACAATAAACCTTTTATAATAAACATTGTTTTTATAAATCAAAGGCAAGAAACATTACAATTAACAAATTAAAAATTCTTGTTGCTTTCCTGCTCAGTCCTCATCGAGTGAAAGGTTCTTGTCTTGGATTTACTGGAGTCATACAGGCAAAAGGAGAATTCAAAATGTTTATTCTCTTTTTTAATCATCTATAAAATGCCAAATGAAGAAGAAACAGAGCAGAATAAGATGTTTTTAGTAGTTCCCTCTTTTTGTGGGGGGCATAGGGGAGGGGGAAGCGAGAACAGAAACTGGAAAGGAGGATAACTGCAAAAAAGTGCTAACTTCTTACAGCAACACCACACTTAGATTTGTCAATAAGCCACATTAATTTAATTAATTTGTCTTTTTCCTCTACCAAGCCACCCCACCATCTCAAGCTAGTAGACTTGAGAGATTCTTCAGGTCTCAGGGAATGGCTACATGAATTGTTACATTAAGGGAAGGTATTTTAGAATTTCACAGGAAATGTCAGATGCCCAATTCAGGAAGACATTTAAGCCAGTGAGCTGTCCATGTGGGATGAGTTTCATGCGTAAATTTAGCCATATATTTCATTACATTGTTTAACTGAGGTCCTAACATAAGAGCCTAATATTGAGAATGTGGAGTGACCTATGTATCTCTTGGATCTACTAGGAATCAGAACAGTCCAGCACCTCACAGGAGTCAAGCTTTTACTCTTTGACATACTATGACTCAGAGTCTCTGCTGACCTTATCAAAAACAGTTTTAAATTAATTTACAACAATCATATGGAATATCCCCAAGGCGGAATCCCACAAACAGTTAATTAAAACAAACAGAATTACCAGAAAAGCCAGAACTTCCCTGAGCACAGCCTAGAAGAAGGCACTCTCTAATAGTTATTATGGGTGGGGATGGAGATGGGGGACAACATTGTTCTCTTCACAATAGCATTTTTAAATGATTTCTGCAGCCTAGAGACTGTTTATTTTGGCCATATAGCTCAAGTGTTGCGCACTGGCATACGCAATACCCTGAGGATAGGTCATATGGAACATCGAATCCATTGAACTTGAGAGTTTTGCCACTGAAACCCCAGCCTTGCTAAGTCAATGTTGATCTCTTGTTCCTGCCGCTAATAGGGGCTAGATGTGCCACAGATGCAACACAAATCAAATGCAGATGAAGGAATGAATAAAATTGCAGGAGAGACTCCTTTAGCTTAACAGAATGAGAGGTACTGATAGCATTTAAAAGGTGCCATTTTGAATCCAATGCAGCAACTGCAAATTCAGATCATCAAGTGGAATATCCATCCTTTCAGTGTCAAGAGTGTTTTAAGCAACACAGACAAATATTTGTCATTAACAAATAAATCCACTGTGGAGAATTTCAGTACTCATATTTCTATAGTATAGTTTGGTCAGCTCCCCAAAGTAGTGTATTTACTTAAGTCCAAGATGAGGTTGTCTCTCTGCCATCAATGGCAGGGGAGGGGACAGAGGAGGAAAAATCATCTTGGATTCAAGTACCAGCATCCCGACTCTGTCCCAGTCCCGATATTACTCAGGGCCAAAGATGGGGCTACTGCCACAGATGCTGCTTCTTCAGCAATCCAGTGAGTACAGGTTAGGGGCCAGACCTAGAGTCCAGGATGGGTGGCAGCCTGGGTTGGGGATGGATAGGAGCATGGATAAAGCAGAGAGCCATCCCTAGGGGTGTGCGGGGCCCGGCACATATCAATGCATGCGGGGCCAGAGGTAGCTAGTGGCCAGAGCGTGCAGCCAGCGGTGTGCGGTGGCTGTGGTGGGGCCTGCACAGCACTGTGAGCAGGGCCCCCCCACAAAGCACAGGGATGGCCCTGGTAGGTCAGAAGGATGGGGGTGGGGGGCAGGGGAAGAGCGAAGCTATGGGAAAACAGGTAGGGGGTGGGTGGCAGTGTAAGTCAGGGATTGGGCAGGAGATAATCAGCAGGACAGGAGAGAAGTGGGGGATGAGGCAGCAGCACAGGTCGCAGAATCAGGCAGGAGATGGGGCAGCCAGATGGGTCCTTGATCCAGTTAGGGGAGAGGAGGTCAGGGGATGGGAAGCAGCACACATTGCTGCCCCATCCCCCAAAAAGCTGTTGCCCAGTCCACTACTCATACTCCTACCAAACCCCCAGACTGTGCTGCTGCCCAGTCAGCAGAATGGGTCAGGAGATGAGGTAGCAGGGGTGGGAAGCAGCACATGCTGTTGACCATCTCCCAACATGCCGTTGCCCAAACCACATGCCCTAATCTACACTGCTGATTGGCAGCAGCTGAATCAGGGGATGTGGTGGCAGCAGCATGGGTCAGGGGATGGAGCAGCAGTATATTGGGGTGGGACAGCAGCTCAAGTTGTTACCCCACCCTCTAACCTGCACTGCTGCCTCATCGTCTGACCTGCACTGCTGTTGGGGCAGAAGTGTGGGCAAGGGGAAGTGGCAGCAACACAAAGTGATGGGACAGCAGTGCTCGGGGTGGGGGGGTAGGTGGTAGATGGAGCAGCAGTGTGAACAGGGGTTCAGCAGCAAGGGACTTGGTATGGGGATAAGCAATAGGGGAAGCAAAGTACCAGGGTCAGGCTGCCGGCCTGCCCCCTGTGGTTGGGAACAACTTTAAGACAACCCTCGAACAATTAGATCCTATACATGGAAATTATAACAAATATATAGTTTTCCATTGATAAAACCTAGTTATTTGGGGGGTATTGTCTTAAATTCAAAATAGTCTTGCATTTGGCTAAATATGGTATGTACAGTTATCCAAACAATTGTAAACCAAGGAAAAAAAATAACTTGTAAGAGAACAGTAAAGAAGCAGCAAACCTTTAGTCCCTTTAACATCTGATAGACCAGGAACTGGATTCGATCTTCAGTTAATTTCTCATGCTTCATTATCTTACTCAAGTCTGTTCCCATGAATGGCATAACCAGATAGCTAAAGAAAAATCAAATACTAATTAACTCCTTAAAGTCTGTCAAATAAATGGAATGCAACATCACATTACACCTCAGTGATAACAAAATGCAGTTAATTCCATTAATTTACTAGTAAATTTAATCTCACATTTCATTTAAAACCTATATAACCAAATCACTTCTGCTAAAAACAACACAGCTTCCCCTCGCTACACAAATAATCAGTTTTGACTGCTTAAGCAAAGACTGAGTAACTAAGTCACTGATTATAGAAAGCTATTGGTCAGTTAATAGAAATAATACATTTTAACCAAAGATAAAATAGCCCAGGCAAGACATGTTACTTAAAAGTCGACTACATAAAAGCTCTGAACTTTACATAGTGTTGTTTTCTTTATAAGCACTATGATGAGTTAAGGAAACTACTGGGTCCAACATGTAGAGATAGAACAGATGCATCAGGATCAGACTAGATCAAAATTGGAAGAGGGCATTACTGACACAAATTCTTAACTTGGAATCATAAACAAGTGTCAGGGGTTTACAACAACCCTTTGCAGAAAGGAAGACAAGTGTGAGGAAGAGCGAGAACCACTGTAGCACATCAAACTGACATTTCAAGGCCAGCCTAAAGCAGAAATTATGCAAAGGACAGGTTTAGACCCTATGTTTTAGAAGGCCTTTAATATGCTTATCACTTAAAACTAGCTTGATACAAGAGGTGCACCGATATATAGGTGCCATATCAATCAGCACCAATAAAAGGAAAATTAACATTATTGGCTATCAGCTTTTTTTGGCCAGTGTAGCCAATAATATCACCAATAAATACATTATGCCTTGTGGAAAGGACCCCCGGATGCTGTATGCATTTGCAACATGCATGTGATCAGGAATGCAGCCAGGCAGCATGGAGAGCAGCACCCTGTAGGTAAGTCTGTGGAGGGGAAGGGGCATGGGGGAGGAAAGGGGTGTGGGGGAAGACAGGTCAAGGCCCCCATGGTAAGGGAGGGAATAGGGCAGGGGTTGGGGGTGCTGCCCAGCCAAGGCAGTAAACGGGACCATGGGGCTGGGTCAGGGAGTGGGATGGAGCTGTGGGCAGCTCATCCAGGGGCATGGGGGGGAGGGGAAGTGTGTTCCTGCCACTGCATGAACCCCTAGGGAAGCATGGGGGGCATGTGCCCCCCAGATTTGTACACAGGGTGGAGGCAGACTGCCCGCTGTGGGCTCGGTGCTCTTCACTCTGCTGCCCCTGCCCCACTCCCTCCCTCACTCTGGAGGCCTCGGATCTGTCTCCCTACCCCACAGCCCTTCCCCTCCACAGACTTACCTGCAGGGAGCTGCTCTCCATGCTGCCCAGCTGCATTCCTGTAAATCGTTTATTGGATTGGTATTGGCCAATATGCCTGGTGAATTATCAGCTATTGTTATTGGCCAAGAAAATCTTTATTGGTGCACCCCTACTTGATACGAAATTCTAACAGAACAAGTTAATAGAGACTACTTTAAGCAAGAACCTCACTGGCAGTTTAAAGTTCAAACCATAACTTTTCTGCTGCTTATGATAAAAAGCAGACACTTTTATGAAGTGACAAAGCTACGTTGCCCAATCTATCCATATTTTTTCTTAAAATAATTTTCCTTTGTTTAAAATCTAAGATGGCATCAATTTCATTACAATTTTATTTGCAAACTAAAAATATAGCAATAAACATTAATGATTGTACTTCAGGGGAATGTTACAATAAGATCGTTCCAAAGAACTATGGTTGAGATTTTCACAAGAGCCCAAAAGAATAAGGCACCCATATCACTTTCAATTTCCACAGAATTAGGACCCTTAAACCTCTAATCTCAGCCTCCTCATTTTCAATTCTTTGCATACAAAATTCAAACATGAAGTAGTGAAAGACTGGAAGAATAGAAGAGCAGAGAGATTTTATTCTCTATGAGTATTTTTATAGCATATAAAAATGTTTCTGGCTGATAAAGTGGACCTAGAAAACATAATTTAACCTCCTGTTTGTTGGTGTTCCTGGATGGTAAAAGCATAGATACAGCCATTTTTTCATTCTTATTAAATTCATTTTCCCAGAGGTCAAAAATATTTGAAGTGGGCTAGAAAGAACTTTGTGAATGTTCTAGCAAAACCACAGGAAGAAAAATCTAAAGGAAGTAGTTATATTTTTGTTACTGTCAGAGAGCTTTGAAATGTGTAATAGTCCTATATCTCTCTGCGCAAGTTACATTTTTTTGTACAATCAGGCCCCTGAAAGCACTCTACAGCTGTGACATAACCCATGTACATGGCTGCAGAGTGTTTTTAAAATGGCCGATCACACAAAACTTAATCCTTGATAAATCAGGTATTAACTGGATTACTTGATATAGACTCCCACAACATTTTCACAGGCAAGCTAAGGAAGTATGGGCTGGATAGACCATAAGGTGGACAGAAAACTAGCTGGAGCATCGGGCTCAGAGGTTAGTAAATCAATGGCTTGATGTCTACTTGGCAGTCGGTTTTGGGGTCGGTTTTGTTCAATATCTTCATCCATGGCCTGGAAGATGGCACAGAGTGCACCCTCGTCAAGTCTGCAGATGACACCAAGCTGGGGGGAGTAGTAGATATGTTGGGAGTAGGGTTAGGATTCAGAGAGACATAGACAAATTGGAAGATTGGGCCAAAAGGGATCTCATGAGGTTCAACAAAGACAAGTGTAAAGTCCTGCAGTTAGGACAGAACAATCCCGTATACCAGTACAGGCTGGCATCTGACTGGCTGGGCAGAAACTCTGCAGAAGACGACCTGGAGTATACAGTGGACAGTAAGCTGAACATAAACCAACAGTATGGCCCTGTTGCCAAGAAAGCTAACAGCATACTAAGTTGCCTTGTAGGAGTGTTGCCAGTAGGTCAAGGGAAGTGATTATTCCAGGGGCGGGCAATTATTTTGGGCGGAGGGCTGCTTGATGAGAATTTTGGCAAGCTGCTGAGGGCCACATGGGTAGCCCCGCCCCTTCAGTTGTCCCACCTCCTGGTTGCCATCTTTTGACCGGACATCCCGCCCCCTGACCTTTGCCATAGGAAGCCCTACCCCTTGCACAACTTACCAGGTAGCAAGGGGTTGTGACCACTCTAACATCCTGCCCCAGCAATGGGGTTTCAGGGGCATCAGACCTCCCTCAGAACTTTCCCTCTACCTGTGCCAGCTGGTCCCAAAAGGAGGAGGCTCCGCTGCTGCTTCTGCTGGCCAGTGCCAACCCAGTTGGGCTCACCCCGTCCCCAGAAGCACCTGGGTAGCTGGCTTCAGCCTCATGCTGCTCTGGATGGGACGGACCCGGCTAGGTCTTCACCAGCCAGGAAAGGCAGCATGCAGCTGAAGTTGGCTCCTCATGTGCTGCTGAGGACAGGAGAAGCCTGGCCGGGTCAGCACCGGCCAGCAGAAGCGGTGGCAGAGCCGCGTGCTGCTTGGGATGGGATGAGCCCGGCCAGAGTGCCAGGGGCTCAGCTGCACTTTTCCCCCTGCCTGTGCCAGTCAGTCCTGAGCAGCACACAGCTCCGCTGCCACTTCTGCTGGCCGGTGCTGACCTGGCTGGGCTCCTCCCATCCTCTGCAGCACGTGGGAAGCTGGCTTCAGCCTCATGCTGCTCCAGATGGGATGGGCCTGGCCGGGTCTGCACCAGCCAACAGAAGCAGTGGTGGAGCTGTGTGCTGCCTGGGACTGACTGGCACAGGCAGGGGGAACAGTGTCCCTGCTGCTCCGGCCAGACTCGTCCCGTCCCGTCCCGAGTGGCACATGGCTCCACCGCCACTTCTGCTGGTCAATGCAGACCCAGCCGGGCTCCTCCTGTCCCCAGCACCACTTGAGGAGCTGATTTCAGCTGCATGCTGCCTTTCCTGGCCAGTGCAGACCTGGCCGGGCCCATGCCATCCAGAGCAGCGTGCGGCTCAAGCCAGCTTCCCACGTGCTGCTGGGGATGGGGTGAGCCTGGCCAGGTCTGTACTAGCCAGCAGAAGCATGGTGGAGCCATGTGCCACTTGGGACTGACCAGCACAGGTAGTGGAGAAATGCAGCTGAGCCTCTGGGTGGGCTCTGGCTGGGCTCTGGCTGGGCTCCGCTCTGGCTGGGCTCATCCTGTCCTGAATGGCACACGGCTCCACCGTCACCACTCCTCCCTGGTGCTGACTGGGCCAGAGCTGCGGCTCAGCTGCTGCTTCGCCTCCCCAGTGCCGGCCCAGCCCAACCCTGCACGGCCCGAGCGGCACAGCGTGGAACAGCACAGCACAGGGAAAGCCTACCCAGCAGCCACTTTCCTGGGCTTACCTGCAGGGCAGGGCCCTTTCCAGTCCTGTGAAGCAAAGCAGAACCCGGCCCAGACACTGTTTCCCCTCACCGGCACCACAGGTTCTGGCCCAGCCCCCTTGCCCCTCCCAAGCTGCAAATGTGGCCTGGGCCAGAGGCGGGGTGAGGCCAGCTGGGTCAGGCTGAGGTCAGGGTTGGTTGACTCGCAACCAGAACCCAAGGAAACAGCCAGAGGTGCTGCAGCCAGCGGCTGGTACCACCAGAGGGTTTGAGAGAGGCAGCTACCATTACATGGGTTTTGAAGGGGCTCTATGGGCCGGAGGGAAGTGCTTGGCCAGCTGGATCTGGCCTGCGGGCTGTATTTTGCCCATCCTTGGATTATTCCCTTCTATTCAGAACTGGCAAGGCCACATCTGTATCTAGTTTTGGGCCCCCCACAACAGAAAGGATGTGGACAAATTGGAGAGAGTCCAGAGGAGGGCAATGAAAATGGTGAGGGGGCTGGGGCACATGACTTATGAGAGGCTGAGGGAACAGGGCTTATTTAGTCTAGAGAAGAGAAGACAAACAGGATAACAGCAACCTTCAACTACCTGAAGGAGGGTTCAAAAGAGGATGGAGCTTGACTGTTCTCAGGGGAGGCAGATGACAGAACAAGGAGCAATGGTCTCCAGTTGCAGCAAGAGAAGCTTAGGTTAGATAATAATAAGAATTTTCTCACTAGGCAGATAGTAAAACACTGGAACAAGTTACCCAGAGAGATTGTAGACTCTTAATCCTTGCGGGTTTCCAAGACCCAGCTAGACAAAGCCTTAGCTGGGATGACCTAGTTGGGGATAGTCCTGGTTTGAGCAGGGGGTTGGACTAGATGACCTCCTGAGGTCCCTTCCAACCCTAATTTTCTATGATTTTATGAAGGCACTATAGAACAGAGCACCTTCAGAAACTTGTGCTCCCTTGAGGATTAATTTTTCATGCCTTTGTGAGGCAGGGCTGGCGCAAGCACCAGCTCACCCTTGCCAGGGCTGTCAGCAGGGGAAGAAGAGTGGAGTGGAGAGGGAACCCAATATCAGCTGAGGTATTGATGGGAGTCAGGCTGGACCTGCAAGGCGAAGGGGCTCTGTTGTACTGCACCTCCAGCTCTGGCCAAACAAAGCCTAGCTGGCAGCTGCGTGCTTCCCCCTCCCACAGCTGACAGCCTCAGGAGTGGGTAGAGCTGGGGCAATATTTCTAGATATTACTATAATCTGTGAAACTAAACCAGTGCGTCATAAACAGTGATGTTACAGGCCACCGTCTGCCAACCTATATAAATACACCAGAGCAGGCAAGAAAAGATTGCGAGCACCTTTCATTTGTACAACAGGAAGCTACACAGGATATCCCAATCCTGAAAAGACTTAGACTTATTCCTGGATGCAAAGCTAAGCATATGCATAACTAAACTGAACTATTCCCAAGGTAGAGAATGCAACACAGGCATGTGTCTTTGCAAGATTAAGGTTCTAGCCCAGGAGCGGGCAAAACAGCAGATGTGGCAGGCAGCTGGACTCCATTTCCCAGCAGCCCTTGTCCACATAGCTGGGGCCCATCTCCATGGAGACCACAGGAGCCACTGTGCTGTGATAGCAAGGCTGGGGTTGCCATGGAGACCAGCCCCAGCTTTTCTGGCAGGGTGCTGGGCAGGGCAAGACAGGGGGCTGCTCCAGAGCTGCTGGGATCTTGTGGTGGGGCAGCTTGGTTTGGGGCGAGGGCAGAGCCAGGATCTGCTCCAGAGCAACCCCTGCCTTATCACAGTGCAGCTGTGGCTGGGGTCTCCATGGAGACCAGCCCCAGCCATCTGGGCAGGGGCTGCTGGGAAATGGAATCCACTGCCAGCTGGATCCAACCCATGGGCCAGACTTGGCCCACTCCTGTTCTAGCCTTTCACTCCAAGTCAGGGCTGGAGAAAGGGTGTCTGTGTCTATCTGTGCCCATGCGTGAGTAATCAAGTGTCACCTAGACTTCAGAAAGGATGGGTCCTTGGCTCCCCTCCCTGGTCCAGACTGATGCTTGATTGTGGAGACCAGTTCAGGCTTCTCACCCACCCACTGCCTCACAGCATAATCCACTGCAGTGTCCTGAGGATTCAGACAACATTTTCTCTGGGGACTAACTGCTGGCCTCAGCTGCTGTTTGCAGTAATACATATCACAGACGAAACAATTCCACATGACTAACTAGCAAAGGGTAAACAATCAATGACTCAACTGACCTTTAATCCACAAAGGTTTTCTCCAAGCCTGTTTAAGTGTAAATACATTTGTACTGGCTCATATCTAACAAGCTGCTGAGTATGTACAAAACAGCCTTTGCCATAGGCCTGCTGCACTTTTAGTCTTAAAATAAAATGTTTCTTTCCATATAATTTGTACCTTCGAAACTTGTCAGGTAGTTTTTTGGGACCTATTTGAAAGTTCATTCCTTAATGTGAATGACTATATTTAGCGTCAATATGCCAGATATTTGAGATAACAGCTTTGCCTCAAAGATCTGCATGGTTAGAATGGCATTCAGTCCTTACTTTGGGACATGCTGAAGTTTTCTGCCTTTTATTTTTAAATAACATGGGATACCTGTATAAATCACCAAAGAAGTATTCCTCTGGTATAAAAAGATATTTTGAGAAACCAGAACAACTTTGCTGGTGCAGATCTAGGGTACCATTTGGGGGTGCACCGATAAAGACTATCTGGGCCAATACTGATGGCTCAAGCTGATTAACAAGCCATATTGGCAGATATTGATCTGACTGCTGATATGTTGTGGGGAGGAAGGGCAGAAGATTGAGGCCCCTGAGGTGAGGGAGGGAGTGGGGCTGGGTGGCAGGCAGCTCATCTGTGAGGTGTGGGTGGGCTGGGGATGGGGGTCTGTTGGGCTCTTCCTGGCCAGGGGGCTGGGCCAGGACTGCACTCGGGGCAGGTGGTGGCACTGGGAGTAAGGCTACGGGGTGGGCTATAACCACCTCAAAATTCACTGTAGCCCCCCAAATCCCACCTCCAGCGCAGCCCCAACTCAGCCCCCTTGCTGGAAAGAGCATACCACCCCGAGCCGCAGCCCACAGCGGCAGCCCACCTCACTCTGCGTGTAGATCCGGGGGGCACATGCCCCCCCCCCCATGGCTCCCCTGGGGGTATGTGCAGCAGCAAGAGCTGCTGCCCCCCCCGCCTCCTGCATTCCCCAGATGAGCTGCTCATGGCTCTGTCCCGTGCCCAGTCCCAGCACCATGCACGCGGCATTTATCAGCAACATTACTAGCCACATCAGCCAAAAAAAAGCTGATTGCCGATAATGTAAATTTTCCTTTTATAGGTGCCGATATGATATGGACCGATGCATCAGTGCACCTCTAGTACCCTACCCTTAACATTGGAATCTGGCCATTTATTTTTAAAACAAATGTTAAGTAAAAGAGATTTTTCAAAGATAAATAAGGGAGCTGGTTAGCTGATCTCTCAAAGCAGTGTAAGGGAGTTAGGCACCTTGGGCTGCAGGAACCAAGCTACTTTATAACAACTTTGAAACTTCAACCTAACATTTTATAGATGCAAAAACACTTGCATGAAGTGGACTCAGAAACAAATGCACAGGCTTTCCTAAAGTCAAAAACTTACAAATCATTAAATTTCTCCAATGTGACATCTGGTGTGAACACATCCAATATTCCAATAACCTAAAAATGAAAATAAACAGATAAAAATATAAATGAATATTTCATCAAAATAAGAAAATCCCCAAGTAGCATAATATATGAAAAAAATCTAGCTCAGAGCATTAGTGACAAACAAGACATTAGCGACAAATAAAGATGAAAAACTGCATGCTTGGAGCAAGGCATTTCCTAAAATATCAGGAGTATCTGTCAGCCACTGTATGTCAGATTACAGTTTTATAAAGATTGCTTGACATTAAATAAAAAAACCCAAGTTTTAAGTTGTTTGTTGCAAAGACAACCGCTTTTATCCTGAAGGATCCTAAAGTGTTTCGGAAAACAATTTGAAACCATACTGCTCTTGCTCAGGATTAGTTCATCAGTATTATTCATCTACCTCTACCAAAAAGGAAGAAAACTGTACCTTAATACACAATACTAAACACTTTAGAAAAGGAGGAAAAGAGTATTTTTTCCATTTCAGGTGAGTATAATTCCCCTTCACTTTGAGTACAGTTCCCAAGTGGGAACCAGGCCAGATCTTAGGATTAACAATTCTTTATTACTTTTAGAAGGGCCAGTTGATCATAAATGACTACAAGTCTTCCAGAATGTCATCAAGTATTTCACTGAGCATGACTTTATCTTGGGTTCTCCTTAACAATATATAGTGCATCAACATAACTATCCTACCATCTGGAAAAACTCAAACATTTTTTTCCAGAATTTTTACTATTAAGTTATTCAATGGAACTAGACCAGCTGGCAAGGTCTATTAACTTCATTGCCAACACTCCTCTCCAACTAATTAAACAACTAGTAATTTAAATATGTAGGTCCAGATCCAATAAAAAGATTTACTGTATTTACCTGAATCCGATGAATCTGAATTTAAAATGACCCCCCACTCCTGCCAAATAAAAAGATTCTATGCATGGAAAATTAATAGTTTTGTTATAATTTTCCATGTATAGAATCTAATTATTGGATCCATCCTCCCCACTGCTGCGGCAGGGAAAACAGTGTTGGGAGCAGAGGGAGGCAGTGGGAAGGCAGGCAGTAGAGCGCAGGAAGTAGGGAATAAGTCAACTTGGAGCTGGAGCCACAGCAGCCACGAGCCCCTCACCCCCACTGCCTCATACTCAAATCCAGTCCCCTTCTGTGTTAAACGGGGGGGAAAAAAACTCATCTTGGATTTGAGTAAATACAGTAGACGCGCAAAATATGAGGTAAGCAGAAGACATTCTAAGACATGCTCAATGCATTTTGAGACGCTACATATTGAGTCTCAATACATATTAAGACTACAACCTGCAGAACTAATTGTAGCTAACATTTTCTTTTCAAGCATGATCAGAGGACATGGTGGTGGCATCTTTTTATGCAGCAGTCTAGTAGCAAGTGGTTCTTAATTCTTAGACTCAAGATGCCCCTTGGAAAATGCTCTCTCTTAGATTTCACTCTTTTTGCAACAAAACATTCAGAAAACTCATAACAGGTTAGAATGTTTTAACACCATGGATTCCTATTTCAAATCTCTAGGTTTACCTTGCGAATAATCTTTGTACACTCCATGGCACCCTGGTCGAGAATCACTGCTCTGTGCGCTCTGGACAGGGGCCTGGTGCCTAACAGAGGGTTCTGGATTCCATGCTGAAGGACAGGTGCCTAAAAGTTAAGTGTGATGTCTACCTTGTACACTGCTAAGTCCTTTATTGAGTCTAGATCATAACATTTGTTTTGATCCTGGAGGTCCTGCTTCAGCACTTTCTACATATTCTGAGACAGCAAGGAGGGAACCATCCATTAAATGCCCCACCCCCCACCTCCAAGATCAACAGAAGGAATTATTTATGGAAATACTTTTTTCAACTATCAAAATATTGATTGCATTTTAATCCTCAGAGAATTAAGAAGCAAAGGCACCCATGCCAGAAACGAATTCAGGTAGTACGACATTCAATACTGTGATGCAGTGTAGCTACTCAACTCTGCTAACTGCTTATGAACTGCCTGCATTACACTAGGTGAAAAGGAATTAAAATTAACCACTGGCTAGGACATTTGAGATTACAGTGCCTGCAGGTGGCAATCACCACAGCAATCACTTATAATACTTATAATGCCCACATTTAGGCTGTGACTACCTGAACTCATGCAGTCCAGGTTACTGCATGCACTACAGTTCTGATGATTCACTCAGGCTTTACAGCTCCATCTGTGGATGCAGTCAGGCACTTGTGGAAATAACTAAAAGCCTTTGTTCCTAAAAGTATTGCTGCAATAGATCTTCCAAAGCCCAAGGTTATTCTAGTACAGGGCTATCCAACTTCTAAGCCCATGAGGGCCACATGCCCCAGGGGCCGCTCACTGTGCTGGCTGCACCAGGCAAAGCACAGGTCACCAGGCTGCACACTGTGTGAATTCTTCCTTCAACATACACAGTGCCACAGGCCCATGTGATTACCTCCTCCCCACCACTGCTGCACTGCATGGGTATGATTTCTACCCCCCCTATAGGATCCCAATTCTCCCCCCTGAGCATATTGCCCCAGAATCACCCTCACTCCCAGTGCTGCCCTACCAGAGGCAGAGGCAGGAAACAGAGGCTGGAGACTGGTTGCTCTTGCAGCCAGAGCAATGGGTGGAATGGTGACTGGGTGAGAGTCCCAGGGCTCCAATTTATCCCCTCATGAGCTACATGGACTGCCAGTTGGAGAGTCCTATTCTAGCAATAAACAGCACTGCAAATCATGTTGCATGCAGATGCCTCAAAATAGCTGTCAAAACCTGTTTTGCTTCATGCACAAGATAAATCATTGCAAGAAAAACCATGACACCCAATTATACCCGAAAGGAGTATTCCTCTGCCACATGAAAGCTCAACATACCACTCCCATAATAAAACACTATTTATTTTGCATTAGTGTACCTCAAAAAAAAATCTATCATTGTGATGGTATAGACACAAGCAATGCTGAAACCATGCAAAAATAGTGAAGAGCAATTTTTAATCATTTGATCCAACTTAAAAAAAATCACCACCAAAAAATAGCCTCACCTCTTACAAAGTCAACCATGATGTCAGTTCTGTTTCCATCCTATTTTTGAGAGTTGCCTGCAGATGTGAAGTACCAACTGGGCAGAAACTGACACAAAAACTCTTGCTTTAGTGGGTCTCACCAGCACTCCTACTGACTTTCATAAGGCCAGCGTGTCATCTGGCATTTCTAAAATTGCAGTATAAGATTATATCATAGTGTTGGGTATGAGCACATGCTCTGTTGTGAGATTTGGTTTCATAAGCTTCTAGTTAAAAAAGGTAGTAGACCACTAAATGATGCTGTTCTCCAGCCACTAAAGCAATTCTGAAATCCCAAACAGCATCAGGCCCTCACCTTCAATTTTCAATGGATCTATGGAATATATCTATGGATTAGTTTGTTTGTTTGTTTGTTTTGGTGGGGGGGAGAAGGAGAAGGTGGGACAGAGAAAAAAAATCGTATAGTCCCAGAGAGATTTATAACCTGTACCATGGCAATCATTTTGAATACAGCCTAAGGATATCAGATGATTAATTTCACAGAGTCTAATTCAGTATACAATAACACTTTATATTAGAAACTTCCACTGCAAAAAAACTGATCAGAGCTAGTAGTTTATCAAACTCTGTGGCATTAAGGAACAATATCAGGCCTACTTTGAGAAATACTAAATTTCTTTCATGCAGTTTTTGGGGACAACTTGTTATAAGGATATTAATAACAGGCAAACATGGAAGGAAGGATAAGAAAGAAGGAAATATTTAAAGCTTTAAATATAGAAAATTCTCTCCCCTCCTGATGTCCCCAAGAAACTACCAACACAAAAATTCTTGTCCACTTCATTTACAAGAAGAATTCTTAAGAAGTTAGCCGGAACATGGTAAAAAACCCAAACAAACAAAAAACAACATACTGAGGAATGTGGCTTAAGATTCTGAAAAGTTCTAAAAGGTATTTTCTTTGCAGCTATGATTTTTCTTTAGAAGCTAAAATATATCATTTCCTGTGGCTTGTAACATGATCTTTTGGAACTATTATAAAAAAATGAAAAAACAAGTCTCCCTAAACATTAGTCTGAGTCAACCAGAACATTCATATAGTAAAAGGTGAAGCTGCATGTCCAAAGCCATGCCTTATATTCTGACATTGCAGTAAAAAAATATCTGTTTCAGACAGACACAGCAGAGTTTTATGAAAAGCCACCACAGAATTTTTTTTACTACTGATGCAGAAAGTGATTCTGAAGCACTCATGGGCCTTGCTTATGATTAAAACTGTGTGTTGACTTTTTTAAAGATGCACTTGCCTGTATTTACATCTTTAAAAATTCATGCATCATTATAATATCTGATTTCTCATCTATCCTAATGATTTTAGTGTGTCATCCATCCCAACAGAAGGAAGGTTTAGGTTGTAGTACTATTCATATGCTAATGATCTCACACACTCTCTGTTTCACTGGATGAAATTTGTGCGATCAGCTTGTTTTTTCAGTATCTAGTCAAGTCAGGCCTTGGATGACAGCTAACTGGCTGAAGCTTAGGCCAGCTAAAGCAGAAGGAAAATATTCAGGCTGACTAAAACAAAGGAAATGGCAAGTGCTGTATTGAAAATTTTCTACTTTTTTTTAACTGATGTTCATGGTTCAGAGGGTCCTATTAGATCCACAGCTCCCCAGGGAGCAGCAGAAGCTCCAATAATGCTTTTTCTCTCTTCTCCCACACAGTTTTTGGCAGGCCATTTGAATGAGACTTCTCATCAATCTGTTGTCTCCAGTCTGAATCACTGTGTTGTGCTCTACTCACATCAACACCTTACATCAGCAGTTCTAGCTGATGGCTGCCCAGCTACCTCATAGTACTCCTTTTCAGGGAGAAAATTATATCAAAAACTGTACAGACTCCCAGCTGACTTCCACCTGCAATCCAAAGTGTGGTCTCTTGATCTGCCACTGTTTCTATGGTCTTATATTGCTTCAAAAGTGCCTCTCATCTTGTGTTTTGACCTGGAATATGACATCAGCCAGCAGACAAGATGACAATCCTAAGACTTTTCAGCAGTGGACACAGAGCTCCTCATAAAAGGGAACAAACTCTTTCCTCAGGCTTACACTACCTGAAATTATATATATTCAGGACATATTTGAAAGCTTGTTTACTTAGTCATCTTCTAGGTAGATGACTGGATTGAGTGGAAGAGATCTGTTCTGACAGGATAGAGTATTTTAGTTTGACACTGCATTACAGTTTATTATAAAACACAGTTTAAATTGTTCCTGGCCTTAGACAGTGAATCTGGTGTCAAAGGACTCTTAAAGTTTTTAAAAAAAATCCTTATCAGGCCAGTATTTTTCAGAACACAGGATACAACTTATTTTATATTATCTATGCTAACACTGAAGATCTGTAGCTTGCTTTGGAGTGTGTGAATTGATCTGGTATTTAAAAAGACATTTAAATTCTTTCCAAAAAAGAAAGCAATTCATATAATATAAAACACATTGTTCTTTGGACAAGGAAATACACAAGAGAATGACTAGTAAAAAGAAATTTGAATATGAGTATAGTATACAGTACCTTTAATAAATTTAACATCTGAATCTCTAAATATAAGGTTACTAGGAAGAGAAAACATCTGTAGAAAATTAGCTTACGTAAAATGATGAAATATTTAAAGGGCACTTGTCAAGGGTTTTAAGATCATAATATATTTTGAATCTAAATTTGGTGTGATTAGATCAAAGGAGTCTTCTAGAGTTTATGAAGACCTAGAATTTTTTAAAAACTCACTCCATTGTGAAGGACTATGTAAAATTAGTTTAATAACAGCAATTGTTATTGTATATTTTATCTCTGCCCCGCTCATGTGTCATGATGCCCTCACCTCCCCTTATGAATGCATGTTGCAGAGTCATGAATAAATACCCCTAGGGGTAATGAGGGCACTATGATGGATTACAACACTATACCCACTTTTATTCTACAGCAATGCCAGTTCCACCCAAACCGCAGAACAAAACAACAAATTATTGGTCAAGTTTGGCCCTGATTATTTAAGTATCTGCACCTGTATTTATTTATGCAAGTACCTTAGTAAGAATATTCACATGTCTAGAGATAAGCAAATGCAATAATGATTGAAGTTGCAGGGCCAGAGTTAGTAAATAAAAATATGTTTGATCTCCTGTGCATTACAATTGGGTTGTTGTTGCTATTATTTTTGGCTTTAGTTTAGAATTAAAACATACAGCTCTTCAAGGTCAATTTTAGACAGTCAAGTTGAAAGGACACACACACACGAAAATAATAGTTTTCTACATGAACTGGTGGTTTGACCTCAGCAATATGCTATATCAGCTTAGTTTTCAGTCTTTTCAAGTTAATAGATAAGCTAGAAAAACTAGGTAGATGTCAACACAACTACTAGTTTAAATGGTTCTTTCCAACATTCAGAAACAGATAGAAAAACGAGGCAGAAAATGCCCTATAGCAAGACAATGAAAAGAAGAGGAATAGCTAGAGGAACCACTACTTCCTAACAGGTAGGCAGAAGTGCCATAGGGGGGACACTGGGTCCACACTGGTACATATCCAGTGCCTAGGAATCCTGCCAAGGGATGTGCTAGTCTTATCCTGAGCGGGCACAGTGGCTAATTTCCACCTCCCCATGCTCTACTATTCAGGCTTCATTCCAGAAGAGATAAATTTAATTCACTTGTGACAAACGTTTCCTTAATATCGGGCCTGAACCCTTCTTTCCTTTGATCCTTGTTTTCCCTCCTGTGACTATAAATTACTCTTTTCCATCATATATAATTATTCTTCAGCATTTATGGATTGAGATTACATCCTCTAGAGCCTGCTCTCTTTTACTCTTTAATTATCGAGTAAATACATGGAAGAGGTCCATAATATTGCACTGAAGGGCAGATTCAGCACAAAACAACAGAGAAATATGCTAGCCAACTGAGGAACAGATTTCTCTTCAAAACAGCAAAGTCACCCTACAATGACATACAGTTAGATGTTTGGTAACTGCAAGAATTGATGATATCCCAAACAATCAGTCTGAGAGCTTTGGGAATGATCCAAGCACAAAGGCCTTACATGCAGTGTGACTCAGTGCATTTCAGAACACATACGATGCCAATTACCAGCAATTGAACACTAGGGGAGTGGGAAAAGAAAAGAATCAGAAATTGATAAAGAATATTTAAGAATAAAAGGCCTGAAGGACAGTGGTGGGGTTGTAAGCTTTATGTGTAGTCTGCTTCCTCTACATGTGTAGCTAAGGTATTTTAGAGGTTATTTTCAAACTAAAACCAGATATTGATGATGCTGCCTTCTAAGTATTAATGCCATGCATGTGAATTACAAGGTTTCAATATTGCAAATGACTAGCTTCTTTTGCCAGCCCTTGGTTTCAAAAATCTGTTCCTCAAGTCACAAGTATGATCTGATATCCACAATTTCAATAGTTTCATAGTTTCACGGTTGGTAGGGTTGGTAGGGACCTGAGCAGATCATCAAGTCCGACCCCCTGCCGTGGGCAGGAAAGAATGCTGGGGTCAAACGACCCCGACAAGGTGCCTATCTAGCCTAATTTTGAAGATGACTTTAAGAAATGTTACTCCCAACACATTGTCCCCCTTTTCACTTCTAAACTCACCGAATGTATGGCTATGACTTTGAGCCTCTTTCAGCTCCAATGTCCTTGTAGTCTGCCTGTCCCTTTGTGTTCCTTGTAAACTGCTTTTAGTCAAGTCTCCAATAATCTCTTCCTAGCTAAAATCCAATGTCTGTAATTTATGACTTGCCTTGATTTCTGTGCCTATTGATCATATTTGCCTAGAAATTAAAATCCTGCTTCTTTCTCTGATCATGCCTTCAACACCTCTATTGATGGTTCCTCCTCTTCCACAAAAAGGTTTCGTTATTTCAACAGCTTTCCCATTCCATACTGGAATGAGAGAAAGATATGAATAGATAATAGTACAGTGGAAAGCGAGAGAGGGAGTATAGGCAACAGCACTGTGGAAAGGGCTCTCCCTGGGAATGTGAAAGCCTTAGATTCAAGTCCCAGCTGCTGGAGACCCTGCTTGTCTCCCATGTCCCAAATGAATACTCCAGCTACAGCACTAAAGAGTCAGTCTCTCCATCTGTCCTGTAAGAGCTCTTTCATTTTGGAAATATTATTCATTATGCCAGAGGCTCAGATTCTAGTGGCCAGGGTATCAGCTTGGAACATGCCAAAGCCAAGGTCCTGCTCTAATGAACTTTTAACTAATTAAACATTCACTGAAGCAAGGGCATGATGCTTCATTTGACATATCCCAGGTTGGTGGCCTGAACACTGGGCTGCAGTGTGTCTTTCTGGCAAAATGAACAATATTTATGCAGTCAGTCAGTCTCTCCCTCCCTCCCACCCCCCAACACAGACAGCAAATAATATTTACAGACAGAGGAAAAGCTCCAATGTGGGAAGTTACAGTATCCACCAAAAACAGAACAGACAATAACATGATGGTTGGGACCTCTTACGTGAGATGTATTAGACCATGGTTCAAGTTTCTGGTCTCTCTCCCTCTCTCTGTTTTCTTGTTTAAAAAACTAAACAAAAAACATTATGGCCTTGAGAAACCCATTCCAAGTAGTGTCTGGTGTATTCCCACAAAAAGTTTCAGTTAGACTCGTCAGCATTTTCAGACAAAACAAGTATGTTGGTGTAAAATTGCTAAGTAGCTCTATGTAACAGCATATCTACCTTAGTCAACTAATTCTGCTGTGGAAGCAGCAGACCACACAGCGTATGCTGTAGCGCAAGATACAGCCTTGAGGGGATTTACTAGCAACTGAACTCACATTTTCATGCTTCATGTGTTTCAGAAGGCGCAGTTCCCGGTAGGCTCGCTTGGCAAAGAGTTCAGACTGAAACGGGCGATACAGTTTCTTGATAGCCACTTTGGTGCCATTTCTTCCATCAATAGCAGAGCTTAAATGAAACACAAAGAGTTTGTGAGCGAGGTCCTGAGTAATATTGAAAGACTCATCAGCTATGGTAAACCGAACAGTGGATTAGAAGTCAGAGAGTCCTGGTACCGACGTTCCGCTTGGCCCTGCCACTACTTTTCTACTGGATGGAGGAAAAGCCACATATCCTCTTTGCTGTAACATAGTGCACTGTAAAATGGAGATCGTGAGCTGCGTCCCCCCAGAGAACCTCATCAGCAGGATGTTGAGAGTCTATGTGCACTAACTGTAAAGGATGGCCAGGTGCACAGAAGCCAATATCAGAAATTGTGAAAGGAAACAGCTGGGAAAGAGAAACAGGGACACATCTGAATTCCGCTAGGCTGCATCCGAGTAAGTGAGACTTTCTGGTAGAGAAAGAGAGGGACAAATGAACAATTATCTCCTAAAAAACGCTCATCCATCCTAGCCAGGTAAGCTGTGGCATAAAGAAGTTGCGCAGAATTGCAGGGTTGGAAGGGCCTTCCTGATATTGTGGCTATCTAGCCACAGGGCCACCAGCCAGGCCTCACTACCACAAAGACACGCCCTGAAAAGTTGCAAGAGAAAAGAGGGTTTTGCACAAAACTCAGCCCCAGAGCAGGGTGGAGGAGCAGAGCTAGGGGGAGCCAGCAAGGAAGGGGCTGAGCGGCCGCTTCTCGGGAGCAGGCAGGCGCCGGCTGCCTCAGGAAAGAGCTCTTGGACGGGGTCTAGGGCTGCAGGTCCCGGCTTCCCCCTCGCGAAACGCCCGCTCTCGTCTGCACTCGGGTTTTGCCCCGCGGGACGGCTCTTACAAAGTGCCGCCCCCGGGGACTCCTCGGGGTGTGTGCGGGAGTGGCGCCTGCGGCCCCGCGGGCTGCGGGCAGGGAACAAAGCGAGTGAAGCCGCTCACCACACGGCGCCGTAGGCTCCGGCCCCCACGGGTTGCAGGTCCCGGTAGCGCTCCCGCACCTCCCACAGCGTCTTGGTGAGCTCCTGGCGGTAGAAGCCCCTCTTGGGGGAGCTCATGGTGCGCGGCCTCCGCCCGCCAGCCCGCCCGCCAACAAAGAGCCCCGCGGCCGGGCTGCTGCGAGGGGCTGGGCTTGGACACGTCCCTCCGCGAGCGGGGACTGGATGTGGCTCCGGCACCTCTTTCCCCTCCTCCTTCCTGCCCCTGCTCGCCATTCACTCCGCGGGAAGGAGGCGGGGGAGAGGGAGGCGCTCGCCGAGGCCCTGGCTGCAGTGGGAAGCTCCCCTCGTGCCACAGACCTCGCTCCCCGCCCCGGCGGCTCCGCCCCGAGCGACCCTCCGCCGCCCCGCCGAAAGGTCTCGGGGCGGGAGCACCTCGTGCCCCACGGGGTCACCTCCAGGCGGCCCGTGCGCGAGTGGTAACGCTTGGCTTTGGGCTGCACGAGAAGAGCAGAGCGGCTGCCGGCTGTGTGAGAGAGCACGCTGCCTGAGCCGCCCGCTATACCCCTCTGCTCTCTTACCAGGACCCAGCGTGTGCTGGGGCACGAAAGCAGGCTGGCACCCAGCCGGGGGTAGGCAGGAAGACTGCTACTTCTCCGAGCAGGACGCAGGGTTCAGCCAGTCCTACTGTTCGGGGGGTGGGGG